TTCTGGATGCCTTGAAAATTGTCCTCCCCTGAGCAAGCCTACGAGCTCACCTGGAAAGTAGCACTACAAAAATACAAAACCAATCCAATACTTAATTCTGCAGCTAAGTCTGCTCTCTCTCTTTACCTCTGTAAAACATATAATCTTTTCATTTTAAGAACAAAATCAATCTGTACAGCAGACACGGTACTGCTGTGGGAAAATATCTCTTCTAGGAGAAGTCTGGGCAATATTTTTTTTTTAATATGGGAGCATTTGTATGAGCACCGTGAATAGGCCATACACTGTGGGTTCATTTGTCAACCAGCAATTAGAAGTGGAAGCCTCTTGACTGGAAGATTTTAATAGTTTGCAGGCATTGCTTGCATTAAAGTGGAAGAGGGATGTATGTCTATTTTAAATAGAAGCATAAATTGAAATAGCCTATTAGACTGAAAGTTGATACTGAAGAATCAGAAGGACAGCAAAATAAATGGGTGACCAATTTACTTTACATGAAGAGATGCGACAGGTTTAGGCAAATTACCCCAGCATGGCAAGAGTAAGCTGGTGATACGTTTTAACCAGCAGCCACTGAAAAGAAACAGTAAATTGATTTTTCAGTTCTAATAGGAATGCGTCAAAATACTATTTTCAATTATTAACCAGCTCCAGCAACTAGAGAGTATTCAGCATAAAGCTGCATATGAAACAGTTTGAGTTTAAACTGGCAAGTAGTTAATAACTGTGAAGAAAATCTAGGCAAGCAACTTGGTAGGAAGCATTTCCAGACGAGAAACCTGGAGCTTTTGTGATCTTTGTTTTTAAATTCCAACAGCTGTTTCTCTTCCTGAGAAACTCAAAGCAATTAGGGGGATTATAGTTTCAGGAACTACCTCTGAAATATGAAACAAATATCTGATTCTCTGGGCAAATACATTGAACTGGTTGTTAAAACTAATTTTCAGGTGATTATATAGTATGTCAAATACTGGCAACATCCATACTTGCGTTCCAATTATGTCTGCTGCTCTTCACAAGATATGCCACTTTCTGTACCATGAGTTTCTTCCTCCGTACCACTGTGCTCACATCATTTCCCTGGGCTCTAATGTGAGGAAATATGTCTTTATCTGTGAAGCTGAACAGGTACAACAGCATAAATTAACAGACATGTATCAAACCTTTAGAGCTAATGTCGTATGCTAGCATTTAAGAAGATATAAGTGTAACAAATATGCATGTGCGATATATATCTTTTACTGATCAGGATGTAGTTTTGATGAGACAGGTAATTCTCTAGCCACACAAAAAATAAAAATAATTTCAAAAAAAAGGAAGAGTTAAACAAGTAGCTATTTTGAGAATACTACTTGGACTGTGGTATAGACAGGTGAGCCTTTTTATTTTAAATAAACCCCCAAACATATGCAAGTATGTTCATGACGTTTTACTATAGAATACTGATAGAAGTCTTTCCATTTTTGTCTTGTGAACTTAAGTGGTTGTTTAACAGATAGATTTCCTGCAGGTTAGCTGAAACACAGGCTTTGTCCTTGATGTTCAGAATGTAGCAATCAGTCTTGCAGAGAGCAGGTCCAAACACAATCCTATAAAATACTTAAACGCACAGGATGAGCCCTGTTCTGCACAAAAGCCCAGCAGCAGCAGTCCTTACGTAGCAGCACACAACTAAGACTTGGCATAGTATGAATAACTATTTTACTGCATACATTATATACAATCCATTTCTTTAAGCTCAAGCAGTCAGATCCCTGTTCTCTATAAAATGCTTTATTGCCTTCCTATATTTATTTTGTCTTTATATAACAGCAATTCCTTATTCTATGACAACATGCCATTCCACTGCTACCTTCAAAATACTTTTTTTCTACACGCGTATGCAGTATTAGCTCAGGAAAACTTCACTCCTCCTTCCAAAGAGGAACTGAAAATACAGAAGATGTGCCCAAAGTAAGCACTCTGATCCAGACTCAGATTACATGGCTGATGGCATTTCTAGAATAGGTTAAAGCCAAAAGGCTTGAACTGAAGTCAACTATATGAACTCTAGTCATCCTGAATGATCAAAGTAGTTACAGCGGATAAAGTTGTCATTTGGTTGTAATTTAAATGTGTTCTTGCCTGCCAAGTGGCTTAAATCATAACTTTAGTAGTCAGATAACATGTACAAAGATCTGCACAGTCTGCAGCAACAGAGCTGCAACAGTCACCAAGTACCGGGGGAGCACCACATCCGCATCTCTGCTGCTGACCTTGCTTGGAGCTGGACCCATCCTGCCTCCTCTCAGGAGAGTGTAGCTGCTCTCCCTGCACCTCTGGGGAACTGGTGTATGCAGGAGCAGTGAATGTCACACATGCACCTGACCAGAGGCCAACTTGCCTGAGAAAACCATGAGCAACTGTAGTCTGAGGCAGAACTATGCCATGTGGAGCATTTAGCCTGAGGAGTGGACAGCGGCTGTGGGGTCTGGAATACTCTTCTCAAAAGAGAAAGTCTTCACTGGTGGTAGCAAATCTCTAGGCTGAAGCACAGGTGCTTCTGGCATGCCCAGTCATCGGAAGAAAACAGCATTCACTGGAGTACAGAAAGCTTAGAGTCTGTGTCCTGGAGAAGGTAATCCTGGCACAATTACTCCACTGGGTTGCATAAGATTTGCAGAAGAAGGGACAAGCCAAAAGGCGGATTTTTGGGTAGGAAGTGGTGAGCCTTTTTGTTATCCCTGGCATAGCTGACCTTCTGAGAGTAGGTGTCAAAATCATTCTGTGAACCAATCTCTCGAGGATTTTAAAAAGGGCAGTGAGGGGATGGGTTAAAAAAAGAGAGGAGGAGGATGGAGTCCAAGGCAGGACCCTCTCACATGATGTTAGTTGGCATGTGAGGCTCAGGATGCACTGCTGGTAGTTGCAGTTCTTATCCTCTGAAGAAAAACTGTAACAGGGAAACAAAGTAAAGCTCAGGACAGCTGGCTGGGTGGTTTTGCACAACAGGAATAGGACAAGGAAGAGGGAGGGGAAGTTGCCAGTTACAAGTAATGATATCATGAGTAACTGTGTCCAGTATCTTGCAATCAATCAGCAGCAATTACGCAAAAGCTGACGTGGAAGAAAATCTGAAAGTGTGTTACTACATTGGGCAGGGTGACTGCCAGCATGGTCTAACAGGTAGGCTGCTCTCCATCTCAGCATGGATGGGGTCTACAGCAAGCAGGTTAGAAGCTCTGCAGCTAGAGACAAAGGCTGATGTCAGAGTGGGCTTTTGCTGTGAGTCTCACCACTGCTGAAAGTGGAACAAACAGTGGCTGGACTGGTCAGAGGAACAGAATGGAGCTGGTTCTGGAGACAAGAATTATGCTCTCTCCTACAGCCTTGTTAGACTTGGCACTAAAGGAGTCGCTACGCTCACCTGGGGAAAGAGAAGTCTTTCCCCCAGCATTTTCAGAGCAAGTCCCTTAGTACTGATGCACACCTTGACTTTGTTTATTGAAATCACGTTAGTAGCTACCATTAATAAGTAGCAATAGTCTTGTGTTATTGGGTGAAGATCTTTAGAGTGATGTAAATAAAAAAGAAAATATCATTTCATTAGGAATTGTGATAATTTCATTAAAACTTTCTTTTTTTGTCGAAGGTATGAGCAATTCAGATGTGATGGTTGCTCTTCAGCGCGGGTACCGAATGCCACGCATGGAAACCTGTCCAGCTGAGCTTTACGATATCATGAAAACATGCTGGAAAGACAAAGCAGAAGAGAGGCCGACATTTGATTATCTACAGAGCGTGCTTGATGACTTCTACACAGCAACAGAAGGGCAGTATCAACAACAGCCATAGAACAAAGAACACTTTTTCTATTGACACGGATCATTGGCACAGACTGTTATTTGGACAGACTGCTCTAATTACTTCATGAGTTTGGATGTCTTAACTGAGTGTGGAAGCTGAAATGCTGTAGGAAAGAGTAATTCTGCAGAGAAATAATAATGTTTTTGTTTCACTAAGACAATTGAAGTTCTCTAAAGCTTGAAGTTCTCCTTAAATGCTCTGTGTTTTGCATCTGCAGAAACATTCCAAAGCAAGCAGGCTTTTTGAGGTGGGTAGGGAGAAGGAAGGAAAGCGATCATGCACTGGTGCAGTTCGACAGCTTCTTAGAATCTAAATCATGCAATTCATGAAAAGGATACCTTTGTAAAAGGGGCAAGAAGATGCATAAACAGCTGTTTTCAAAAGAATAAGTCATGAAGGAGAACTTAGATTTAAGATATGGTGATGTTCTTAACTCATCTGTTTTGAAATACAGCATATTGTGAAAATTATTTTTATATCCTTGTTATTTCACATTAGTATCTGGAGTACTGCTATTTCTAAATGGTGTCATGGTTTCCTTTAAGGAAGGGTTATGTATGTAATTCTTTACACTGAAGATGATTCTGTTTTACTGCTGTATTACTCATACTAAATTTAAAGTAATTTTCAAAGCATTGCACAGCCATCACAGATGCAGAAGTGCAATAGGAACACATATGACAGCAGAAGCAGCAGCACACCTAGCTCTGTGTTCAATCTTCGGTTTCCCATGAGGCCAAAGTCATCTGAAGTCCATGGGAAAGCACAGGATTTTGAAGGAGGTTAATACTTTCATTGCAGTTGCTGAGACTGTTACCAGTGAAAATATTTTAATCTTAATTTTTAATCCTCTGATTATTCAAGAATATTCCTTATGGTTTTGCTGCTTGAATCAACTAACCTCAAATTTGTTTTAAAGCTAAAACTGTCTCTAGCACTATCAAAAACAATTTGTGGAAATATGCAGTAAGATATCAGTTACCTTGCAGTGACGCTATAGGTTTATTGCTCAGTATTTAATTCATAAAAGTGAATGCAGTTTGCTAAGCTCTACACATTGAATGGTTCTATCAATCAAATTACTTACCAAAATAGCTGAGCTAGTGCAATTGCAATGTAACTACAGTGTAGATCACTTTTCTTTTTCCCCAGAGTGACACTGGTTCTTAAAACTGAAACCCAGTAGATCTTTGCTACCCCTCAGCCCAATTATTTAGGCAGATGGTACTTTGCAGAAGCTTAAAACCCTTTTGGCAAAGCCTCAGTGTGCCTGCAGTTGAAGTTCAGTAGCATGAATATTCATTGCTTTTCTTTTCCATTGGCTTCCTTCAGTCAAACTGTGCAGTTTAAGCAGGCTATCAGTTAAATATGTAAATAGTTTCTATTGTATGGTGATTTTTAATTTTAATAAACACTTAATCTGAAGCAAGTTGTATGGTAGTAATTTGAGACAGAACAAATAGCTGATGTTCTATCCAGAGTGGTAGCTTCATGTGGAACAGGGGAACATCTGTTCATCACCACTAATAAGATTAATGGATTCTGCTTTCCTTACACCCATTCAGCTTTCAGAAGATGAAAGGGACCAAACCAGCCATTTCTACATCCTTGTTAGGGTTTCTTTTTGGGCTGGAGGGCAGAAAGAGAAGTCGTCAGTCCTCAGCTGACTTTACAGCAGCTTCTCAAAAGTCTTTAATGTAATAGCACCACAGTCCATTGCAGCTCTTTGAAAAACATTAGTTTAGTTAAGAATTGATCAGTACTTCACTACAGGCTTCATTTTACTTTGCAAGGGGGAAGAAAAAAAGCTTAAGATAATGTAACCTTGTCTTTCAAATGATTTCCTGTAGCCATCCAAAGAGCTCTGGGAAGTAGGACAGAACACAGAAACAGCACTTGCTCAGGGAATAAGAGGTCATAGTTAGTGTTCCATGAACTTGCTAACATACACACTCAGACAAGTGACAGACTGTCAAGGTGTAGCACTAGATCCATTTGAAATGGTGTTACAGAAAGTTTCCAGGATTCCTCTGTTCTGATTTTTTTTTTTGTAACTTCTGTTTGAATATTGCTGTTCTTAAAGCAACTTGTGCATAACAGCTTTCTTGTTCAAAACTCAGTGTGTTGTAACACTACACCAAAATATTTAATAGCCAGAATAGTTTGTGTGGGAGTAGAATAGTATTTTAGAAATCCTACCCTGGAGGGATTATAGGCCTTCAGAACTACTGGAGCCAGATAACCTATATTTAACAGAAGCAGTTCAAAACATGAGAACAGCTCTGGCTCAAGTGCTACATCTCTAGCCTGGCTAAAGAGGTGTCAGAGCAATTACTTATCACTGCATTTGCACAGCCCAACCCAAAGCTCGAAAGACCTGGCAAGAACAGTCACACCAGAGAAGGGCTGTTCTCAGTGTCATGCAGGAAGGCTGCACCACCTAGTGTCTCCACTGGCAGGGCAAGGTTCTTGCTCTGAACTGGGTCCCCTTTCACTACAGGAAACAGCATGACAGGGACTGATCAATTTACTTACAGATTCTGCCTTGTTCTGAAGCAATTATCCAGCACTTACAGGCATGGTACTTTCACAGTAGTTAAAAAAAACTCTCACCCTCACTGACTGAAATGGATCTAAGAAAGCTATTCCAAGTTTTATCACACTCCAGTCTTCCTTCTGTGAGTTCCTAGATAAAGGTAAATAATATAATCAGGGCTATGATTCTTTCAAACCAAGATCATCATATGTCAATCACTATGGTCATTTGGCCTTTGAAAGTTTATGATCTTTATCTTGATTTCACTGATTTTCTCACCTTTGTAAAATGAAGTCAGAGCTTAATTTAGCAATTGAAAATTTTATTAGAAATCAATTTTTCAAAGTTTAATGCATATTCTTAGTGTAAATTCAAATTATATTAAAACAAGTTCCTTTACAAAGCCAAGTTAGCTGAAAAAAAGCAAGGGGCCAGATGAGAGACCTGATTTTGTTGCCACTTTTAGCAATTTGCTCAGTTTCATCCCAAAATGGCAGTCTCCAGGTAAAAGCCAGAATATTAACTGAAGAACCAGGTTATTTTAACTACTTGAGATGAAGCTTACAAGCCATCTGATTTCTAAGAGTCAACTAAATACTTAATTTTAAAAGGTAATGGGCAGCAGATGAGGAACACCCCACTTTGCATGAATCACACATCTGTCAGTATAGAAGACCATGATAGCAGTTACTCAAGAATTAAAATCATACATATTTCTCAAATCACATCCCTGTATCAATAGTAAAAGCAGAAGTTTAGACCTAAACTTACATAGCTCTAAATTCAACCCTGATTCAATTTAAGAAGTTTTGTATTAAACATTTTTCTGTCAGTTAACATGACAGTGAAAATGACATCAAAGAGTGAGAAAAATCTACCAACACTTTAAGATTGATAAAGACGCCCAGTAATTGCACCCTTTGATTAATCAAATACTATTCTTTTGCTTTATGAGCCAACAGTACTTGTTTTCTTGAAGAGGCTGAAGCATCTTCACACTTCCCCCAGCCTTTACCAAGAGGTGTAGTAGCAGTGGCTGCTACTGTGGATTTCAGGTTAGCCAAGAAACCTCTCCTGGGTTTTTCTTGTTTTGGCTCCTCTATAGAGAAATGCTTTTTCCGTTCATGAAGTTCTTTTTGCAGGGAAGACACTGTTTCTTCAAGCTCAAGAACACGTTTAGCCCAGTTCTGAAGACTATTCATTTCTTGATCCTGGGAAGATAAGGCTGTGTTAGGCATGTGAACACTCCAAGGTCATGTAGTTAATTTTCTGTTTTAGAATATTTTACTATACCAGTAAACACTCTTGTTGTTACTATGCCAAATAAATAGCTATTCAGTACCCATCTCTTCTGGATTACTTCCATATAATTTAGAGAACAGCAAACTACAGGGCCATCAGATCTAGTTAGAGACCAAGTCTGACTTAAGCAGCTGATGCTAGAATGCTTAGCCACACTATGCTAAGAATTGCTGTTGTTCTAGGAACCTAAACCTAAAAGAAGGCTTTTCTGTCTTAACCTGCAATTACTGAAAACAAGACTGGTCAAATCAAAACTCTTATTATAGTCATAAGTCTGCTAACCAGGACTGAATAAATGCTTTGAGTGGGCAGAATAGAGTCTTAAAGATGCTCTTTAATCCTTGTGGTTAACAAAAAGTCACCTATGTCTTAGAACCAATGAAGAAACAAAGCTCAAGATGAGTAATTTTCAGTCTCAGACTTTGACTAAAAAGCATGCAGAAGGTAATTTAATGTTCAAAGAAAAACATCACTAAGCAGTCTTATACCTGTCTTGCTTTATTTGCAGATTACAAATGAGACATACATGGAAAGTGCCAAGAGTTCAACATTTTAATTTTTTTTATTTAGAAATCTAGTTATGTGAGGTCAGATGCTGTGAACTTTATGAAGAACCTGCTTTTGAGGGAAAGACTCCTTCTATTTCAGTATTAAGTAGTTTACATGCCCTTCTCTCTTATTGAGCTTGGCCACCTCTGCACAAGGCCAGTATACCTTTAAAGCCATAGATCCTTAGGTCTTGTTGCACTAGCATTTGTGCACTGACACCTTGCTTGCCCTCAAAACACCTCATGACTAGAGTTCTGAGTAGTATTTTCTTTGCTTGACAATCATTTGTGGCATCTTTGGATAGCAAGATTTGTCAGCGCAGAGTTACCCTATTGACCAAGTCTATCGTTTAAGTTGGAAAAATGAGTCTTGTCTTATGAGATACGAAGTGAAACATAAGGGCTCTGAGCTAATTCAGGAAGTTAGGGATGGAAAAAGTACTAACATCAACAGAAATAAGTAAGACTGAACAGTGTTTTTACATGTACAAAGATGCAGAAACACCCAGTACAACTATAGATACAAGCCATATTATAGTTGCTTTTAAATTGTTCACAAACCTTGAGCATGATTGTATGCTTCAGTTGACTGTTCTCTTCTG